AGAGTGGAAAGATGACCCGAACTCACTCAAATTCAAGCCGTTAAAGTCAGCAGCCTAATATCTGGCACAATGTGGCAGTAAAGGGAGGAGGGATTGTGATCTTCGATAGGCGAGCGGAAGCAAAGTTGGGAGACTTTGCGTCGACAGAAATACGCGACAGATGAGGAGGAAGCCAGAAGAGGACATGAGAGGAGGAGGGGGAGCTTGAAAGCCCTAGTTACTGACTACAGTAGGAGAAGAGCCGAGAGAGGAAGAGGAAGGGAAGGGAAAGGATGGAATGAGTCCTGAGTCCAATCATAAAGGAAGACTCCATCAGTGTCTCAGAGGGAAGAGGAAAATAGAGATAGACCGAATTAATGTGAGTGTAAACTGAATTACGGAGAGAAAGTACAACGAAGTTAATATAATGATGTATAGTTAGCAGGCTGTGATCTTTGTGGGAGCTCTTTTAAAATAGAAAATATAGTAGAGCGAAAGAGAGAATGTACCATCGCGAGGAGGAAGAAGCGGCGTTTTGCCCTGGGAAGCAGAGAGTACATCCAGGACTGCGACTAACTAAAGGGGAAATAAATTGATCGTCAGACAATAAGCATTTGAGAAGGAGATAATTGGAATGAGGAGATCGAGCAAGTGGCATGAAACGGTCATCAGAAGTGGAGAACCAGGTTTGGATTTGTAAGGGGAAGACAGACCATCAGAAGCTATGTTATGCATTAAGGAACAGGCAATGGAAATTACAGGGAGAAACAGAAGGAGACTACACATGGGCTAAATCAGATGATGAGCGTACGAAGAGGAAGAGAAGAGACTGAATGGACTGTGAACCAGAAGGTCAGAGGTATGAGGCGGCAAGTGAGGAAGAAAAGGGAGATGTAAGGAGGCGAAAAGGATGAGTGAAATATTGGTTGCAAACAGAAATAATACAGACAGGCATGAGATAAGGGAGAGATGTAGAAGAAGCAGATACACAGAAGAAGATTAGATAGCTACGTGGAGAATACGAAGGAGAGAGAAAGAGAATAGAATTTAAACCGAATGACAAAGAGTGGAAGAGGGAGAAACTCGACGCAGAACCAGGACGAGAGAGGAGGGCAGACGACGGACGATCCTGAGAGAGAACTGAGCTCAGGAGAGATGCAAGAGAGAGATGAGAAGAGTGAAATGAGATTGAGCAGCAGACATGAGTGAGAAAGAGAATAGAGGACGAGTATGTACGTATGAAAAAGAGACGAGAAAAGGAGAGAGCAGTAGAGTACGAGAGAGGGGAAGGGAGGAGACGAGACCCAGTAGGGAGCAGACGAAATGGTAGAGTAGAGAAATGAGGAGACGAAGAGAGAAGATGAGACGAGAGAAGAGAGATGAGTAGAGTATGACGATGATGGGGTGGGCGAATGACCGGAGATGAATCATGAGAGGAGCACGAGAACTGGTGCGCAGAGTGAAGAGGGCATTTGAAGGGGAGCACGAGGCTTTAGAAGAGATAAGCAGAACAAAGTCTGAGTACCTCCTCATGTAAGTAGAATTTAAGGAGGACAGAATATGGGTTATACTTGGGAAATCAAGACTGAATATCAGAGATCACTTACAGAGAGAAAGAGAAGAAAGAGTGAGAACCAGCGTAGATGTTAAAACCATAATCAGGGAGAGAGCTCACCACGAGAACGACCACTGTGTCAGATGAGTACGGTATTATGAACTGATGTAGAAAATATAAATCAAACCAATTATTCAAGTATTCAAGTATATAGGTGCATGGACATTGCCCAGTAAGTTATTATTATCATAGTGTAACTCCTGCTATAACAAAATAATATAAATAAATAGCGCAAGGACTCATAGGAATAATAGGTTTATGATATATATTATAACTAGACTGTTATAGATGACCCTATACTTACACACTCCACACGACTACCCCTAACATCATGGACACAAACACAACCCACAGACACACAAAACACAAGACCACACACACAACCACATCTACACAAGAGGCAGGCATAGAAAGAAGATAGTTATAATAGTAGACATGAGATGAGTGATAGTTAATAGCGTAGTGATGATGTTATATATATAGGAATAATTATATATATATTATATATATATATATACAACGATACATATTACTACAATATAACGAGATAAAAGTAATAGTAGATAGTATCTAAGGGTAATGACTACATCAGTAGAGCACATACTATAGGTCACGAAATAAAGTAGAGTACAAAATTGCAAGTAAAGAGATATGATAAAAGGAAGGATTATTAAATACTGATGGTGATGTGGTGCAGTTGTGTCATGCGAGTGTGTGTGTGTGTGTGTGTGTGTGTGTGTGTGTGTGTGAGAAGTGAAGATAGTAGACTATATTGAACCGAAGTTTAATGGGAAAAAATGCAAATGTGTATGGGTAGCAGAGAGCAGGATGAAGACGAGAAAGAGAAAAACAAGAAAGAAGTACTGACACATACAGAGGAGACAAAGGAACCCAAGTTAAAAGATT